ACAATGGCAGGCAATTTGACAACCAACAGTTTAGAAACTTTTGCTCAAACCTTGGGATTGATCACCGTCTGACATCAGTTTCGCATCCTCAGAGCAACGGTCTGGCCGAGGTAACAAATCGAATCATATTGCAAGACCTCCGAACAAGAATAAGCGATGCTAGAGGTTCTTGGTCCGACGAGCTGCCTTCTATACTTTGGACGTATAGAACAACTCATAGAACAACCACAGGAGAAACCCCTTTTATGTTAGCTTATGGCATTGAAGCAATGGTCCCAGTGGAAATTAGACTGCCAAGCCATTGGAGGCTCGTGCCAGAAACCTCGGAGCATACAACTGAACATCTTGATCTCTTAGAAGAAGTACGGGAGCAAGCCGATATAAAAGTGGCCTCTTACCAAGCAAAGACAGCAAAACATTTTAATCGCAAAGTCAAGGCTCGGAGGTTCAGAGCTGGCGATTTGGTCTTGAGGAGGGCCGAAGCAGCAGGCCATCCCCCAGGGAAGCTCAGGCCCGTCTGGGAAGGGCCCTTTGAGGTCATACGGCAGGTTCGTAAAGGAGCATACAGCCTAAGAGACACTTCGGGTAGACCTCTTCCGAGGCCCTGGAATGCCGACAATTTGAAAATATATTACAAGTAAAATTCCCGACGCCTTTAAGGAGATTTTCTTTTCCTGCATTTTATTTCTAGTTTAGCAGGCCTGCGTGCCCATGCATGTTTTCCGTTCTCTTTTGTAATAAACTACGTTCGGCTTGATCCCGTTTGGGTACGTAGGCAGCTTGGATGTAATATAAATCCAAGTCCAGTCCGAACAATTAATAAATTCAAGCTTCAGGTATGACAGCCCTTTAGCAAAAAGCCTTGCCCCAGGCAAGCACTCAGCACTCAAAAAGCCTTGCCCCGCGCAAGCACATCAAAAAGCCTTGCCCAGGCAAGCACTCAAAAAGCCTTACCCCGCGCAAGCACATCAAAAAGCCTTGCCCATGCGCAAGCACTCAGAAAAGCCTTGCCCCGCGCAAGCACATCAAAAAGCCTTGCCCCAGGCAAGCACTCAAAAAGCCTTGCCCC